ATTTGGTGTTTTTGAGCACCTGTCACCTCCAGGTAAATAATTTAATAGCATGTGAGAAAACCAATTAGAGTTAATTAGAAATTGACTGATCTGCTTTGGCACCAAAATGACTGAAAAATATGGCCTGTCCTTTCTGGAATAGGGATTTTGCTCTTGTACATACATGTACGTGAGTGAGGAAGTATATTGGTTTATGGTCAATAGATAGTATTCCTTGGAGGGGAAAAAAAAGCACTTTATAAGCCAGATATGTAACAGCAGTTCAGGCAAGAAGAACAGGGGCACGAATCCTTATAGACAAATAGCCATGCCGTTCCTGAGCTTTATTTCATGGTGATGGGCATGCTGGAAATGTCTAGAAGATTAATAGATTCAAATTCAGTGATCAAAAAATGGGAGCATGTCCAAACAGATCATTATAACAGATTCCTGCTCTATCCCAAAAGCCAGACTTGAGCCATCTGTAAGCTTCACATTCCTGGTCTAAAGTCTTCTGCAGCCATAAAAAACAATAAGTATCAGTAGGAGAAAAAAAAAAATCAATTTCTTGGCTTTGCAGCCAAAAAATATAGTGATGGGACTAGAGGGAGAGGAAAAAGAGCTGATTATCAGGGCTGTTGGTTGTTTTTTGGTGTGTTGTTGTTTGTTTTTTTTTTAAGCAAGTTAAACGAGTAGGCCATATTTAGGAAACAACTTTGTTATTGAAGATTAAAAGACTATTTCTAGGGAATAAAGTCAGCATCTCACACTCAGGCTTTGGGGGATCAGTGACTGACATCTCTGATGTTCTCTGTCCAAGACCTAGTGTACTCACAGGAGGTTCCTAGAGGACCTGTGTTGATGATAAGGATACATAATTTAAAAGTCTAATTGTTTAGCTCCAGCAAGTTGGTGCTAAAAATAAATATTTAGCCTTTTGCATGCTTTCCTTTGAGGACTTCCGTGGTGTTAAACTGTGCATATTCCTTGCGCAACTTTTCTTGCTAAGAGAGGATCAGGAAAACTATATAAAGTCCCATTTTCTACCCCTTTTCATTTGAGGGTATGACCAGTAATTCCAGTCTCTATGCTCTGTAAAGCAACGGATTACACATCAGTGGCTTCTTGGATCTCAAGACCCATCTGCAAAAAGAGACAATGCTGAAGGAGGGAGGGTGAGCAGAACCGTGGCTGCACCCTGGTCTTTGGGCAGCAGCTGCCACTGATCCAATGGTCACAACAGGGAGCGCTTCCAAATACCCCGATCCTGTGGTGCTCTCAGGACTGCCCTTGCAGCGATGCCTCTAAGAAAGCCACCTGTGCTTTCCTAATGTGCTCTACCACTGGATAGACCACTTAAGATGAACCTCTTTTCACGTAGATATTTGTGTAGGAAACACTCATATTTTTGCTTCTCATTACAAAATGGATGGAAGTCTTGGTTGAACCATGCTGCCTCCTTCTATATGGGTATGTAATTACATCCACTGGTGCCACAGCCACTTTCAAAATACTTGCTTTTTGCGGATATCATTGACTGGAAGAGGGAGCATGGTCTTGACAAAGCCTTCTCTGCAGGCAGTGAATCACAACACAAGGAGCCACAGAAAGGTTAATCTGAAAACTCAAGGTGCGCAAAAAAGATGGCACCAATGTTTCTCTCCCTGCCATAGGAACAGTGCCCATAATAGCCATCTGTGGAAAATGGAGATATTCCAGCTTGTGGAAGGCACCACAACAGCTCTCGGGTGAATTAATCACACGCTGTTTGAGACCTTCAGCTCACACGTGGGATGTGTTTCGTGTCTCTGAGATATTCTATCCCGAAAGCTGTGTGCTGAGATACTGAGAACTTCTTTCTGTGCACAGCAGTCATGAACCTTTCTCATTTATTTTTTAATCGCAGGGGAGGATTATTTTCAGAACAACAGGGTCTGAAATTTAAATTTGTGCAGGTTTTAAACGGGCTGATGTTTCTGAAGTCTTTTATGCTCTCTGATATTAGGAGATTAGTTTGAGACAAGATCTTTCGATCCTCATAAAGGTTCAATGTTATTTTGTAGCTAAGCTGTTAATAATTGGCTAGAGGTTTTATAGATATATGTATATGGTTTTTACTGAGGTTTTAAGCTAAAGAATGATTTCTCATACCCTTCATATCCCAGTCCAGATGTTCAAGTCCTATTTCCCTACGTTCCAGCAGATGGATGCCAAAAATTTAGGGAAATTTAACGTGTTTCTCAATGTAGTATATATAATATACTGTATTACTGAGCTAGGAGATAGAAGAGCAAAGACTATTGCCCCAATTTCTTCTGCTCTTTTCCTCACTAGCAACAGAAAGTACTTAATTCTTAAGCTGTAATGGTGAGAATTCTCCAAGGGAGCATTATTTTTTCCTCTCCCAGACCAACTGTAGTGCAGCTAACTAACACTAAGTCCCTCCTGATTAATTTAATGGTAGCTAAATAGTGCAGAAATAGTGAGAAGCCACCAATTCTTGTCTTGATAATGCTGCCTTCCCAATGTCTGCAGTAATCAGCAGCATGCAATCCAACATATAAAAGTCTAAATGAAACAAGCATTTCAATTTTTCTTTCTGATTAATAATTTTCCTTTTTTTCCCCCCAAATCCAATAATTTCAGTGCTAGACTTTCAGAACTGCCTGTTATTTGCATACCTGAAAAACAACATGATCTAGAGAATGATAATACCACATGAATATAAAGATGGATCTAGAAAAGATGTTTTGGCTTAAAGAAGAGCCAAAGAATGTATTATATATTCAGTAGATAAGGTAGCACTAACTTTAGTGATAGCATTGAAATTTAACACTATGCACATGGCTTTCTGGATCAGAGTCTTTAGCTCAAAATGTTGTATGTCAGACTAAAGCCTTAATTTCTTTAAATCTGAAAAATGTCTGTAAACACTTTGCACCAGAAACCATAACTTTTGAATTTTCTGATCTTTGAGCTTGTTACATGTCACTCATCTCTTCACCTATGTAAAATGCAGAGAAAGTTTTTTTATTTCTTCAAAAAGGAATGGGCAGAACAGCCACAGTTCCAGTCTCAGCAATTTAAGTTTTCTGGTTTTCCATGTATGATCTCCAGCTTGTCTATATCTGAACAAACAGACAAATTGGAGACAATGCAGAGAAAAGCAACAAAAATGATACAGGTGTTTAGAAAACATGACCTGGGAGGAAATGCTAAGGTGACTGAATTTAATTTAGAGAAGACTGAGAAGAGATGGGCGAAGAGGTTGCAAGTACAGAGAGAATAGGTGGTTAATTGCTCTTTATGTCAAATAAGGATACAAAAAAACATTATGAGCTATTTTGTACCATGGAGGATTGGGAAAAACTTTCTACTGGCTTGCTGATGTAGATGAGGAGTCTATCTCCCTGGAGATTTTTAGAAGCAGAGTGCAGAAGTGTCTTTCAGGGATATTCTGGGTTTTGCTTCCGAGGAGAGTTGGATTAAGAGGCTACAATTCTGTGATTTGTCTGTCGACAATCTCAGGAAGAAATTTTTTAATCTCTACTCATTCTTTCACCAGGATATTTATGAGCAAGCCTTTCCATTTCCTCTTAGGAGGAGACAAGTACTCCTTTCTTCTCGAGTAACAAGTGTTTTTGTCCCCATCGCAGCTCATTTCTGAATGTAGGGGAAAAAATAACCTAAAAAGGATGACACTTTCTAATTTTACTCACTCCTATAATATTTATTGCTTTAAAATAAAATGCTTTAAATATTGTAGAAAAAAAATAGGAATAGGATATTTGCTTGTCAGCTGCCAGCCTCTAATGTTTTACAAACACTTTTGAATTAGTTTTGACAGTGAGGCACTGAAACGAGCATGGTTGGACCCTTTTTCAGGATGTCAAGTGCAGAGCTGAAGTGATTGGGGTCAGAGTGGAGATAAAACATTAGGGGGAGTCCAGCTTGCAAGTCCTCTATTCTAATCACCAACCATATTCCTGTAAAGTGGAAAATGTCTCTTTTTCATTTTTTTATTTATTTAATTTGAGAAGTAGACGTTGGCTTTTAAAATCCATACAGCTGCTAATGACTGGGTTTTTGCATCATGTGTCATGGAAAAAGCTGAGCCCTCATCTGCACAGTAAATGTTAGAAGCTGGGTTAATTGTGAGGATATAGGGCATCTCTAAAGGTTTATAAGGCAGCTATGCTCTTACAGATACTGTTTTCAAAATGCTCTGATGCTACCTTTTTTGAAAGGAGCCTTTGGCTGTGGAGTGCTACTATTTAACAGGTTTAATGTTACTAAAAATTGAGAGGCTGATGCCATTATTAAATTTCATTCAGCACAAAAGCAAACAGTTTATCGTAGTCTGTTCCCAGCAATTGTAACCCAATTTTTGTTATCTTACATTGTTTAAAAAAGAGAGAGATAAAGTTACTGTACATCAATCTGATAAAAATGTTTAAATAACTGGTGCTTTTCTGTGATTATGCTGGTTTTATAGCAGCATTATGGAAACACGACAGGGTAACTAAAATCTGATTACGTCTAAGTCCTTGCCCATTATGTGATTACTATGAACCATGACTTCTACTGGCACATTATGAATTACATCGTCATAATACAAGGGATTTCCAATATAATTAGCTGAGATTAGGAGCGCTAGAGAAATCTGGGAATAAGGATACAACTTGAACAATCAGTTTTACTGTAAACGCTGATAGCTCTGCCTTCCAGGAAACAGAGGGCTGGTGGATGTAACCCTGACCTACCTCCTGGGGTTTTCTACACCTCCTTTCTCTTCCCTCCTCCTGTGAAATTAATTGCAACCTTGCCAGAGCACTAGAAAATCTCTCGTTTTTTTCTTCTCATATTATACTGACAAAGCTCAAGGCTAGCTAAGATTTTCAAAAACGTCAAAGGTCTTTAGATACCTCCTTTTGAGGGGGCTCAGCCTGAAACTGGAAAGGGCTCTGCTTTTGAAAACTTAAAAATATCTATCAAAATATTGTACTGCTTTAAGCCCATACCTCCAGTGCTGTTGAGTATCGCTCTGCTGCTTCTGCGTAGTTGTTCTCCCTGTAGCAAGTGCTGCCTTCCTGGATGGTCATGTAAAGCTGTTTGTCAATCTGGGGCGAAGCACTGCTGCGGGGAGTGCTCAGATCATCTGCATTTTCAAAGCCATGACGTGTCGATTGTGTGCTTGTGAACAACATAGGATCAGCAAACTCGTAGAAAATGTCTTCCTCATCAGTGTAGATCAACTCCCTTTCTATGTCCTCTGGGGATTTCAGATTAATATCAGACAGAGGTATCTCATCACAGGTCATCAGGTCAAACAAACAATCAGTGTCTATTGTTGTTTCTTCTTTTTCCACAGCTAGGTCTTCTGTGTCTTCTGACTGCCATTTACGGCTTTCTCTGTCTACATCATTACTTGGTTTTTCCTTCTTTTGCTCTGCTGCTTTTATTCTCATATTTTCTACTGTTCCACTCCAAAGGTGGTTATTGACCTCTTGCAGTGCTTCTGGAATGTAATTCCATTTGTCTACTGCTTCGTTTGACATGTTAATACTACATGTTGGCTGGGAGAACATGACATCCTTGCTATCCAGGTTTATGAAAATTTTTTGGAAGTCAATGTTACTTTCTGAAGCCACACCTTGAGCAGAGGAAGAGTCCTAGGAGAAAATATAGAAAAATTAAGAATACTCAAATGTTCCAAATAAAAAAAAAAAAGCATGCAAATGCTTTCTTCAGTGGGCATATCGTAGTCACTGTTATGAGAGAAAACTCTTCAATAGTTAGCACATAGAATATCACACTCGCTGTAATTACTTTCTCTTTTCTGAGTAAAAGTTTAAAGTATCTTAAATTTTGATGGCTCTTAATAATGTATTTTTATTTATGTTTTTATTTATTTTGTTTATTCATTATTTGAAATTAATTGCAACCTTGCTAGAGCACTAGGAACTCTCTTTTTTTTCCTTCTCTTGTTATACTGATGAAGCTCAAGGCTGGTTAAGATGTTCAACAACATCAAAGGTCTTTAGATACCTCCTTTTGAGGGGGCTCACCCTGAAACTGGATAGGGCTCTGCTTTTGAAA